TTCAACTAGGGCTGGGGGTGGCGACGAGTTTGATTAGGGAAGTGGGGGTTGACTGCTTGCTTGCGTGCATGAGAAGTAGGTGAAGGAAAGGGGCTCAGAGGCGTGGGCTAGCGAACAGAGAGATACGGAGCGGAGGAGGGGAAGAATCAAGAGAGCTAGGACAAAAGAGAGACCGGATAATGAAATTAGGGATGCTTCTCATTTATCTAAGGCTTTAGCAAATAAAAAAAAAATTATCTTAAATATATATATATATATTATATATATTATTATATTATAAAAATAAATTGCACACGCTATTTGCATCGTACGCCTGGCGCGCAATAGCGCTCACTATTTTAAAACATTTGTGTGCAGCAAACACATTGGCATTGTAGGTGCACCGCGCCACGCCGTGCACCATTGCACACGCTATTTTGAGCCATTGACATGTATGGGCTATAGTCCAACACGGTCTCTCCTCCCTTGGTTAATTTGCAGGCAAGACAAAAAGAGCAATTATTTGTTCACAGACAACCATGCTTGCTCATCAGTTTGATAGCAACTTTAGAATCATTTTTTAATGATTGTCATTATGGCCGTCAAATGAATATAACTTGTTGGTGAATCCAATCTCTTTGATCAACATTGAAGAAGAATTGGCTATTTCATCTTGTATAATAACCACCAACAGAAAAACAACAAGGAAATTCTATGTGTACACACAAAAAAAAAAAAAAAAAAAAAAAAATAAAATATATATATATATATATTATATATTATATAGATATATATATATATACACAATAACATCAAGCCTTTGTCCCACGTAGGGTTGGCTACATGAATCCTTTTTTGCCATTGTGTCATGTTAAAAGTCAAATTCTCATTTAAATCTAATAAAGAAAGATCATTTTTTAATATATTTTAACCAAGTCTTTTTTAGGTATATATATATATATATATACTATTATATATATATAATAAATAATAATAACTAGTTAAAAAAGCATAAAAGAATGAAAGCGAGTAATTGAAGAGACATCAATCTTTGCTAAAACTAATTGAAGACCATGCATTGTCAATTTATGGTTTAACTGGACCCTAAATTCATATAAGTCATTATAACTAATCTCACCATATACTATCATTTCCATAGTATACAAATAATTTTTTTTTAATAAAATTATCGCCAACTTTTGATCGACTTAGTCGGGCATTTCATGAAACAAAAAAGTTCTTTAAACACTCAAGCTTTGAAAAGTGTACCAATATGTCAAGACATTCCTACAATTGTTACAAATGTTCATAAATATCATATAGTAATATTTAGTCATGTTAATGCATCCATGCTTATGCCAAATGCATTAATATATAAAAAGAATACTAATGCCCGCTAAAATTAAGATGCATATTGATGAGGACATCAGCAGGAGATTCAGGCGTGTCTATCAGAGAAGGCATCGAAGATCGACAGCTACGATTATGAGTCTTTATTTGTGATGCATTTTTATGTATTTATTTTATTTATGTTCTAGTTTTTATCATTGTACCCCTGAGAGGGATTAGTTCGTGTTGTAGCCCAGAGGGCAATTTAGTCTTTGTGCCTTTTATCTCTTGAGGCCTATATATGAAGGCCCTAGCTTTTGTATTAGATTGATGATGATTTTGAATGAAATTTTCAGCACTTGTTCCTTTTCTTTGTTGTGAGCTCTTGAGAGAGGAGAGAACCCTAAGAGAGGGCCAAGCAATTCCCATCAGCCGCAAGTAGAGTCCGGGCTTGTTGTTTGTATCTGTTCTTATTCCTTATTCCCCTTTCATCTTCCCCATACCATCGGCTACCCCCTTCCCCCTCCCAAATTCCAGCCCAACCCTCTCCCTCCAACCAAACCGCCAGCCAACCTTCACCAAATACCCCCACCCACGGGCCCTACTCCCCCTAAAAACCCCTAACCGACCCCTCCATAGCTATCGGCCCTTACCTAGCCCAACCCTAGCCGCCGGCCAAGCCAAATCCCCAATCCCCTTGATTCCAATCTCCAATCTCCAATCATCCACTTATTACTTTCCTAATTTAGAGCATTCTAATTTGGAGAGACCCTTTTTTTTATAATTTGGAGAGACACTTAATTCAAAAGAATTTGAATTTCAAAAACTTTCCAAATTAAAAGAAACCTATTTTGGAAGTTCCCCTAATCACTACAATCTAAAATTAATTTGGATTTAATTCCATATTCCACATTCAATGCATGTGGCCACATACATTGTATGTGGACACTTCTCCACTCCCCCTTCCCCCCCCCCCAACATCCCTCTCTCTTAATTAAATCCCTCCCATTCCTGCTCTATTACTGCTCTCAATCAAAGCCCCTCCCATCAAGGTGTGCCGGCACCTAGTCCCGATTGGAGGAGATTGAAAATTCAAAACTCCTCCCCAATTTTAAAATTGGAAATTAAATTTCAGATTTTAAGTTGTTTCCCCTCAACCAACCTAAACCTAAAATCTGAAATTAAAGTGGCCCCTCTCCTAGTCTTGGTCGACAACCCTAGCTTACCCTCCTCCATTACTTTTCTTCTCCCAGACTTGAATCATCATCTAAGAGAAAGGACACAATTTTCCCCGGCCTCCTACCCATGTATGGCCGATCCCGAGCTAGATCATGGATTCGTCTATAATGATCAAGGACTAGTAGATGTTCTTCGTTCCCTCTTCTTTGACATCAATTGGGAGATAGACCAATCCGTCAAAGACTACGTCGACCGGATCCTCTTCTCATTGACTACCGCTCTCGACGAACATCGGTATTTGACATTGCAATCTACTTTGTAACCGCATGCCAAAGCTAAAGCCCTCAAGAGTGTGACCAAGGGAAACTCATGATGATTGCTCTAATTGTTAACCAGTGGATTTTTGTTACTTGCGCATCTAGCTTTACTATAATTTTGATGTTATTTTAATTGTTCTTCTAATCTATTTTGTAACCACATGCCAAAGCAAAACAATAACTAAGAACTCCTAGAATCTAATCTTGTGAAACATTAATTTAAAATTGGCAAGCTTAACAAATTTTATTAAATTCCTACAATTCCTATTTGTTTCACATCACATATAATATGACCCAATTGATTAAGCAAATAAGCCAAGGAACCGATCCTAACCTTATTGATTCCAAATTGATCTAAGAAACTTAGTGAGTCATTACCACATCTTGTCCAAAGCACAAGATAATAATACCCATCCTAACCATTCTACATTCAGAACAACAAGATTTATGCCGGGCCCCCATAAACCTAAGGTTATAAACCAAGAACATTGATAACAATATAAACAAATCAATAAAAATTTTGAAATTTGCTTCAACTAGTGAAATTAAGTCCTAAAACTCCTATCAAAGTTCAGAATAAAAATTCAAAACAAGGTGTCTTCCTACAGACCTTCCAATAAATGCATACCTCATCTCAATTAATTGGCTAGCATGAAGCCAACAAACATGCCAAATTAAACCAAAATGATCATTTTAAATATCCGGGAAAAGTAAGAACTATCACCTCTCCCTTCATGATGTATGCCTCTTCCCAATCAATTTGGTTTGACACAAAGACAAGTCAATTATAAAATCAAAACTTGGGTCTTCCAATGAATGTAAGCCTCATCCCAAATTAAACATGGGCCAATTAATATGCTCACAAGCTTACTAATGAAAATCAAACTACATGTGTGCCTTAGAGAAACTTCTTGGAGTCAAGTTAAAACTATGGGAAGTTGATAATCATGCTCTGAGCTCTTGTCGGGCATGTACAATACCTTTAAATCACAAGCAAATTTGATTTATGCCTCTAAACTATTCGGTAAAATTAATATGGCCAACTCTATGCCAGTAACCAAGTCAAAATCAGTTTCGAGAGCAGGTCTTTGATAAAACATATTCTCACCCTAATCTACTTCGGATTTGAGATGAGGCATCCAATGGTTGTTAACCAAGCTTCATAGAGTATTCTAAAAATAGTAAGTTGATTCTGCTGGTATACGTGAGATGAAGGAAATATAAGATCATAATAGGGTTAACCTACATCCCCCAATCATTCCCATCAATTAAATTCAAACCTTAATATTAAATCTAACCACAAATAAGCCTAAGCAGAGAGTGTTCTCCTAATAGCAAACTATGGGAGCTTGTGCCCATAGAAAGTTTCAACCGAAATCTAAATAAACACTGACCTAAGATAGGGAGATTATCACTAAAGAAAACATAATCCAGCTCGAGAGAAATTGCTCATGAGTTCCTATTCACACATGAGGCGGCTTGATGGAAAAGATTATCTTTTCCTAAGTGATCAAGGGTTCATTTGGGTGGTTATGATTATTTGCAAAAATAATTGTAAAGTTGTTATGAGAAAAATATATTTCTTGAAAGCTACTGTGGGTACTATATTTTTTTTTTTAAATATCATATAACATCTTTATTTAGCTATTTCATTTTAATAGATTTCATTATACTTCTAATTACATAAATTTTTCAAAAGCAATAAAAACGTTGTTGAACAAAAGAGCTTTGGCAACTTTCTGGAAAGCAAAAATATGAAAAAGCTGATCCAAACCAACAGCAAGACTCCCTTTGTAGTTTGTACCAATGCTTCTCATAAATACTAAAAAATTTTCAAAGAAAAATTACAGAGACACTGTTTCCTTTCATACGCATTTAATAAATGAGAAAATCCAAGAGAACTTTAGATGTCCACTTTCAGGACTTTTGTCCTTTCCATGTAACTAAATTGTAAATATATGTTGTAGAGAAATCCAAAATAAAAATTTAAATTTTTATTAAAATGAGCAAAAACAAACCAACTTAAAAGTGCCAATATACTATTTCATGCAAATAACGCACCTAATTTATTTAAATACCATTGCAATTCAATCGATATTTGACATTGCACATGAACGATATAGTCTGATCTTTATCTTATATCAAGGAAAGAATACTGATGAAAGACTGAAAGATAATCGTTCAATAAAGCTTTACCTCTTCAAAAGGCCAGTTATCCTCATGGTCATTTGAGTCGCCACCCCTTGGAGACCATATCAAACCTTCTATCATACCAGTAAACTTATTTATCTTGTCTCCGAGTACTGCTAATTCTCTCCATCCTCGCTGTCCTCTCATCATTTCATCCATCCTACATGATAGCAAATATAAATGGAAAATTGTTCCATTTCATAGTCAACAAAAACCGTTTTATAAACCTAGAAGCAGCAAGGTACAAGAACTAAAAAGCATTAAATCATCAAGATAAACGACATACCTCAAGAAAGCTTTCTGAACAGAAGCAGCTAAATCTCCAGTACAAGAGGCCTCACTCTTAAGTACTTGCGAGTGCAGGTATTTCGCACAGAACTTGGCAACTACCTTTCCTAATATAGCATGTGAATCATTATCAAGCAAACAGTAGCAAGTTACACAACTTGCAATATAAACAAATTAGAAGAAAAATATAGCAGATCATGGTAGTAGAAGCCACAACTTGAACTGATAAATGCCATTACAAAAGACGAATAGCATCAGATTTGCACATATTATTTTATTTATGAGTAAAACCTCAAAATAGTCTCCCCGACTATTGATAAATATCCAATTTAGTTCTAAAGCTTCGTATTGCCCCATTTTAGTCCCTCGAATATTAGAAAGGGAGTCAATTTAGCCCTAGAGCCTAAAATAAAACTTAAAGTTAACTCCAAAGTTAAATAAGAATATATTTTAGGCATTACAACTAGATATGATATTATATTTCTTACATTTGTCCATTTTCTCTATCTCTGGGTGTCGAATTGCCTCGCGGCAGTCTCCATCTCTGTCTATCGCTCGCCGTCGCTTGCCCTCTTGCTCGCATTGTGTCGCTCGTGACCTCTCATGTCTCGCTCGCACAGCATGCGTGTCGTCTCCTAGCTCGAAGTCTTTCTCAGACCAGTCGGTCATCACGCTCGTGGTCCCTATATGCACGTCGCCTTGCTCTCAGCAGCAGGTTTTCCCCATCCACCATTCAATCTCTAGTTCCATCTCTAGGAAAAATTATAACAGGAATGTGAGGGATTAAGTAAAAAAGTATTTTACTAAAATACCCCAAAGAACCGAATGCTTGCGGTCTTCGTCCATTAATTTGAATGGAAAATTTAACAGATGGACTAATTGGATAATTTTTAATAGTCGACGGACTAAAATGGGGCAATGCGAAACTCTGAGACTAAATTGGACATTTATTAATAGTTGGGGGGGGGGGGGGGGGTTTTGGGGGGGGGATATTTTGAGCTTTTACTCTTATTTATCATAAAGTACCAGTGGTTTAGAGGTGTATATGCATTATCTAGATTAAAAACAATATTCTTTGTTAGAAATTATGATTTGTGGCATTATATACCTTAATCCAGCACCGAAGTAAACAAGATATCTCTAAGTGACAGCAACTTGAACATTAAAAAAAATGTCTGCCGGGGTAAGACAAGTCTCATAACTTGAATTGCAATTGACATGCTATCAATTTAAAGAACTGAAGATAATTAGGTTCATCATTTTTAAATGGTAATCAATACAAAAGGAAATATAAACACTCATAATATGTAATAATAATCCTTGATATGTTAAGCACATCCAATCAAGCACAGATTTTCATGCAATTCTTAAATATCAAAGCGCTCAAGTATTTGAATCAGATACGCTCGGAATCGACAATGAAATCATCCAAACTTTGTTTTCTACAAACTTATAGTCAAAACAAACATTGAGATGAGATTAATCGATATCAAGAAAGTCTTGATCCAAGTCCAAATAGACATAAATCAAATATTTGGATGCATAATGAAAAACTTCGTGGACCATTTCTTACATACTTATAGTTGAAATTAGTCTCCACATGACGAATACAATGAACCACAATCATTTACTTCCAATGTCTTTAACGTATTAAGAAGACTAAAAGAAATTCTACAATCAAGTGAGATTAATGCAGACCATTCAATGGAATATTTTGATTTTTAGTTAAAATGACTAGAATATCCCTCAAAACATCTATAAATAGACATTACATCTATCCATTTGAAGGGGGTAGAAAGGGGCCAAAAGAAGGATTCCAAATGAGAGAATCTAGATCTCAAAGGCCGAAGTCCACTATCGTCGCCAAGGCCAACATCCCTCATCACACCCAAGGCCTACATCAGATATCAACAACAACACTAACAACCATTATCTACCTATTAGAATTAAAAACTTGTAAAATCAATTACAAAATCATTCAAATTTCAAGTTTAGCAAACTTATAGTCAAAATTAACATTTTTATTAAATAAACCCAACAATACCAAAAATACCTCAATCTGATCCCAAATGTATCAAAGTCAAATGCACAATGGCATAATTTGAAACTTGTGAGACCCTTTGAAAAACCAAAACACTCTCCATTTATTATGTGCTTATGGAAAAAATGAATGTCTTGACAAGACAAATAGTGAAGCCCATGCTCGCTCAATTTTGATGCCATTAGGGCAATAAGATGTCTACAAAATATTATATGATCAAAGGGGATCAATATAAACCATCTAAAGTAATGTTCTAACTTCTAGTCAAAATTATCATATCCTTTTCCATAAATCTATAAATAAGCACTACATCGACCAAGGTTGAGCCCATCGTTGCCAACAAGGATGACATCTGCCATTAACAACAATGACAACATTTGTCGATGACAATGTTGATACCCTTCTTCAACAATAGTGTTTACGCACACTATTGTCAATCAAGGTTGAAACCCGTCGTTGACACCAAGACTCGATACTCACTATTGCTACAAAGTTAAACATCCGTCTTCACAAACAATACCCACGCCCATTGTCTCCACCAAGGTTAGCACCAATCATCGCTACTAAAGCCGATGTCCGCCATCAATATCAATGATGAAATACATCATCACCATCTTCATCAATGTTTATTATATACACCAAGGTCGATGCATACCCTATTTGTCTTCGATCTCCCCTTCTAAAAGAAAAATATCGAACATACCACTAACATCTTTTGATGACAACTCCACCGCCTTAATGCACCATCTACCTTCATAGTTCCACCACTGAGGTCGTCGTTCATAGCTCATGTCGCTACATTATAATGCGTGGGCTAAGCCATGTTATTCTCTTTCTCATGTTTTCTATGAAAAAAATATCATGTCTCATATGAGCTACCCTCAAAACTTATTAGTGAAGGATTTCCATACAATTCTAAGAAAATCCCTCTCTATCGTCATGAACATTCTAACACACAATAATCCCCATGTTATTAAATTGAACATTTGAACCAATTCTTAAATTTTACTCTGACGGGGGGCTGAAAAAGTCAAAAATATTGCTTCTTTCAAGTTTACATCCAGCTAAAATGTGAAATTAACTCAATCTCAAAAGAACCCTCATATAAGGGAAATATTATTAAGGGGCTGTTTGGTTGGAATGAAAAAAAATTCAAAGTAAAGTAAATGAAGTGTAAACCATTCTAGTTCATTTTTGAGGTAAACAAAACTCGCCCATTTTTGAACGAGAATACTTTACATCGCAAGCAAGCTCGCTTGACAATCACCAATCACCATCTTCGGCCACTTCCACCAGCCTAAGGCCACCCCTACCACCTGTCCGCCACCACCGCCGCCACCATCCACCGTTACCGTCCTCCACTACCTCTGCACCAGTTGTCAGCTGCTATTTTTAAACTTTACACTACATTTATTTTACTTCAAACCAAACAAAAAAAAATTATTTACCAGAATTTACTTTATACTTATCCAAAGAACTCCAAAGTATTCCTTTTACACCATTTTTTTACACTCCATTCCTTTTACACTTCATTCCATTTTAGCTAACATTACGGAAATATTAGATTAGTCTCACATTACGTGTAAAAACTATATTAGTGTAGAAATAATAAGTGATTGGTACTCACCTATAGTCTTAAGCTTTTAGTTGGAAATAAATTGTACTACTAATGTATCAAGCCCAATCTTGGTCCCCTTTTTTAGTGAATACTCCCTAACAAAAAGTGCACAAAAGATATTATATGGCTAGTTTCCAAAGATAGGCAACCTTATAAAACTCCAATTTGAAACATATCTAAACTTTTTTTGGAACTAGGTGGAAAGTGCATATATTTATTAATTGACAATAGCTAAATTTTGGAAAAAGATGAGGAAAAAAAAAACATGAACAAGAGAAATAATGTAACTCATCATCAAGCTCTCTAGGGAGATAATTAAGGATCTGCAAAGCCAACATTAGATATGTCGACAATACACTTACTTGTTACATTCTAATAAGAGAAGACAAATGTATAATCAAATAACAACCTAAATGGCTAAATAACTAAACATTTATATTTTCTCTGTCATCCACTAATAGTCAAAGTGAAAAAAAAAAAAATTAAATACGTATTTGCAAAATCATGAATCAACATTTGTAATCATCATGATCGCAAACCTTTTCTTAACTATTTTAGGATAGATATATCGATACTCTCATTTTTTATAAAATGGTCTCATTTGTGTAGGTTTATTATAGTTAGATCCTTTCAAAAATATATCTAATCATGTTGATTTTCCAACTTCTTTAAAGCACTCTGATGCAATGCATCATTAGCTAAATAAGCCCTTACTCCTTAGTTATAGCTTATCTAAGTTTGTTACATATTTTCTAGAAGTTTCTATATTGTTCTATTTGTTTTATAAATAGTTAAGATTAGGTGTAAGAGATGCTAAATATTATATCCCTTTGAAGCTTTAAGCTTGTGTTGATTCTGATGCTTTGAGTGTTCCTTCTAGCAAATCCAATTCTTCCACCCATCCACTATATCAGTTAGTACAAGAACCTGAAGTTTGTGAAGAATGATGGATTGTTAAAGAAGATGGATTGTCGACGACGATCAAAATCGAAGAAGATGTGCGGTCGACGAAGATCGACACCCAATTAGAAGAACAGTCAACGACGATCGACACCGAAGATGGGCGGTTGATGACGATCGATGCAGCAAAGCTGATGTAGAACGAGAAGAGAAAAAAGGGGACATTTGAGATTTGAATTTCTTGCTTTAATTGAGATCAAAATATTAGGAATAATTAAATCAAATCAAATCCAATTACAAAACTAATTAGATTTAATTTTAAGTAACTTTCCTAAAATAGGTTATATTAAATTAGGAAAGTATTTCAAATTCAAAATTACTTAGAATTTGAAATCAAATATTTTCCTAACTTAAATCGTTTGATAAAAGGAAAGTAATCAAAGGGGAATTCAAATTTTGGAGGCAAAGAGGAAGAAGGGGGGAAGGGTCCAGCGGCATTAAAAGAGGGAGGAGAGGTTATGGAAAGAGAATTAAAAGGACTTTGATTGGAACCTTAAATTAGGGAGTAATATTTAAATCACATCCAATTAAATAATTAACTGGACCTAATTCAAATACTTTCATAAAATAAAAAGTAATCAAAGGGGAATTCAATTTTTGGAGGCAAAGAGGAAGAAGGGGGGAAGGGGCCAGCGGCATTAAAAGGGGGAGGAGAGGTTATGGAAAGAGAATTGAAAGGACTTTGATTGGAACCTTAAATTAGGGAGTAATATTAAAAATAACATCTAATTAAATAATTAACTGGACCTAATTCAAATACTTTCCTAAAATAAAAAGTAATCAAAGTGGAATTCAAATTTTAGAGGCAAAGAGGAAGAAGGGGGGGAAGGGGTCTGCGTATTAAAAGGGGGAGGAGAGGTTATGGAAAGAGAATTAAAAATGATTTTGATTGGAACCTTAAATTAGGGACTAATATTTAAATCACATCTAATTAAATAATTAACTTGACCTAATTCAAATAATTTCCTAAAATAAGAATCCTAATTTTAAAAACAAAATTCAAACTCGAATTAATTTGAATTTTAAATTTCAATTTGTTACTAAGTTAGAAGGGCTAAAATAGGAAGGGGTTTGAATGTGAAGGGAGATTTGTGGAGCCAAGGGGAAAGAAGGTGGCTGGCAGTTTGGTGAGACCGACGTCTAGGGAGGTTGGCATGGGGGTGTTGGAGGTGGAGCTAAGGCCGTGGGGAGGGAGAAGGGGAGGCCAGTTTTGTGGAAGTGGAAGGGTTTATGAGAGAATCGGCCGGTGGAAAGTGGAGGATTTTGGTCGGCAGTCAAGGGAGGAGGAGAAAAGGATTTAGGAAAAAAAAGATACAACCGCGAGCCCGAACACATCCTGTAGCTGACAGGTACTATGTTGCCCTTCACCAAGGGACTTCAGGCCACGAGCCCGGACACATCTTACGGCTGGTGGAAGCTATGAATTCCTCCCATAGGAATCTCACTCAAGGTTCTTCCCAAAGAACACAAGTGCAAACAATAAATTTTATTAATCATCCAACATTACATTACATAAGCAAGGGCCTCTATATATAGGCCTAAGAAACTAAAATAAGACACTTATGACCCTAGGGCTTACATAGGACGACCCTCTTAAGTAAGGGTAAAAATGGAAAATTTACAATAAAAATAAAAATAAATTAAGATAAGGTGGAATGATCTCGGTTGTCGATCGTCGTCTCCTCCTTTGAAAATCTTCAAAATCGGATGTCCGCATCAAAAGCCCTTTGGGCAGCTCAAGTGGATGCCTCAATTGATCGAATAGACGATTTATTGTCTAATTTCGGCTTTTCTGCAGAGAGAATACGAAGAATCGGCAACCATGCTGGTGCCTTCACCCTTGCACGACCGACCTTGCTCTCACTTCCACTCTAATGGTGAGATCCCCTGCCTGACAACTCAATTTGCAATCATCTCGCAACTGTGCACCGTCCCACTTTTCGCTTCTGATTTAAACAGCCCATGACAAACAATCCATTGCTACCACCCGCTCCCAATCTGATCTTCGACACTCTGTGTGACTTCAATTTGCTCCCACTTAGTGTGACCTCAGCACCTTTGCTCAAGTAGGAGTATATCCCCTGCAATTTCGACTTTTCTGTACCGAAGACCTAGACGCAGGAATCGTCCCAAATGCTTGATCACGCTTCACACTCATGCAGCCTACTCCCGCCTCCAATTCATGCGACTAGCGCAATGACACCCCCACACCCACTCCCACTCCCAATTCCGCTCCGGCCTTCATGCACGCCACTTTCCCCGTAGGTCCACTCCAGCCAGCTCGCAATTAGCATGCATGCCTTCGCCTCCCACATCACCTCGCCTCTGCATCCCACCAAGTTCCCGCCTTTCGAAACCACGCGGCACCATCCCACTCCTGCAGCCAACTCACGGCTCTGCACCTCACGCTCATGCGACTCATTCCTGCGCTCACACGGCCCATACGCGATCAGACCCGCGATCCACTTGGACAACTTCCCACTAATTTATCTTACCAGGAAGTTCATGGCGTAGTGTTAAAAAAATCAAATGGCAGCAGCTCAGTTGTTCTTGAGAACCATGGGGATCTTTCAGTTTCTTATGCTAGTTCAGGGACAGAGAATGGAGGCAACCATCAGATTGAACTCTTTGCTGATGTTGTTTTCCCCAACACAATTGAGGAAGTTAAATGAGCCAGGGGAACCGGGATACTATTTTTTAACAGGGAGGACCAACAAGAAGAACTATTTGCCGATGTCCGAGTTATCCCTATTTCAATGCTCAGAGCAGTCGCAGCAACAAAAATAACAGGCACATTGAAGATTGCTGCCCTGAAGGTGCCCAGATTTGGAGAAAAGAAGAATCAATAACTTGATGACCTTGCCATCTTAACTGGAGCAACAATTGTTAGAGATGAAGTTGGTCTTGCATTGGATAAAGTTGTTCATGAGGTATTGGGTACTGCTGCTAAAATTGTGCTAACAAAAAGATTCAACTGCCCTAATTGATATGTATTCAAGCAAGTTAGATGCCAGATTACGAAAAAAAATAGATGTCAGATTAGCATATAGGATGTTTGCTGATTTGCTTGAAAGAAATGTTGTGGGACAGTTAGAAAAGCATGATGTGATCCTATGGAACGTCATGATTTCAGCATATATTGAACTTGGGGATATGATTGCTGCTAAGGAGCTCTTCTCAAGGATGCCGATGAGAGATGTCATTACTTGGAATTCAATGATTAGCGGTCTGACAATGCATGGAAAGGGATTGGAGGCATTGGAACTGTTTGATCATATGTTAGATGCTGCAGAGGAGCCTAATGGAATAACATTCGTTGGAGTCTTGAATGCATGCATTACTTTGCATCAAACCAAACAGTACATTAATTAATCTTAACCCAACTATATGCATTCTATTAAATTTAGTTTTTTTTTTCAACTTGGAAACCATTTTACAGAAAACAAAACCCTAAAAACGATTGTGAAGAAATGAGAAAGAACATTAATGTGTTCCGGGTAGAGTATAAGCTAGCTGTATCCAGCAAGCATGCAAATTAAAATCAAGACTAGGGGAAAACATAAAGCATAAAGACCTGCAACTGACTTGGCAAGAAAGACAAAAAACAAAGGATAGCTTGTATGGAACATAAGAGAAATAAATGATGAAAAAGCATACCTCCATGGCCATCATAAACACCAAAGAATGATGTCGAGGCATCCAGATCAGGAAGAGCAGCATGCTTAAAAAAAAAAAAAAAAAGAGAACATGTCAATATAAAGATGCAATAACGGCACAATAAAACGCGTGCCTAAGTCATTAACATAGCCACTTCAATTCCAACCCAAATGGATAGGATAAGGCCACATAGCTTCTCTAGAAATATGTAATTCTTTGCGGGTATAGTTATTCCTAGGGAAACAAGTCACAATGAAGTTGCCCACTCGTTCAAGGTTGTCTTTAAATTGCATATAATCATAGACTCTGCTCGCATGTATTAGACTTATGATATGCACCTATACTTCATATTACTACTGATGCTGAAGGAATGAACAATAAACATGCTCAGTCATCAAAGTTTCATCAGGCCGTGACAAGGGTCATGAATAATCAATATTTAGTCAAGTTCTAATTTTAACATTTTAACCACTGAAATCTATTTGGGGACAAGGTGTTTGTGTGGACAGTTTTAGTAAGAGAGCGACAATCAAAGCAGAACAGATGCTGGAGATTTTTTTTTTTTTTTGCAACAGGGCCCAAAAAAGTTCCAATTCAGCTTAAACAGGACAATGACAATTATTAAATATTGATTATGTGCATTCTACAAAAAAATGATACAACAACAACAACATCAAGCCTTTGTCCCACCACATGGAGTCGGCTACATGAATCATTTTCGTCATTTTGTCATGTTAAAAGTCAAATTCTCATTTAAATCTAATAAAGAAAGATCATTTCTAATATTTTCTAACCAAGTCATTTTAGGTCTACCTCTACCTTTCTTAACATAAGTCAAATCTAATACCTCAACTTTCCTAACCAGGTCATCGGAAGGCCTCCGTTTAATGTGACCAAACCATCTAAGGCGGCTCTCTCTAATTTTAACTTCCACTGAAGCTACTCCAACCTTTTCACGTATATGCTCATTTTGTATCCTATTTCTAAGAGTAAAGCCACTCATCCACCTAAGCATCCTCATCTCTATAACACTTAGCTTAGTATTATGCTTCTCTTTTAATGGCCAACATTCAGCACCATAAAGCATTGTAGGTCTCACCACCATCTTATAGAATTTTCCCTTAAATTCGAGGGGGACTTTTCCATCGCACAACAAGTCTGATGCATTGCTCCACTTCAACCATCCAACTTGAATTCTGCTAATGATACCTTCATCTATTTCACCATTACTCTGAACAATAGATCCAAGATATCTAAAACGTGTACTCTTATTAATGACTTGATCGCCCAAAGTCACAATCCCCTCACTAAGTCTATTGCTGCTAAAATTACACTCCATATATTCAGTTTTAGATCTACAAAAAAAATGATGATTACACAAAATATAACAAGTGGGCAGTAGTAGAAAATTTGACCCTTAGCCAAATTGCACATTCCACAAACAAGATAGAAGCATCCTAACCAAAAAGCTACATAATAGAGCAAGTTTCAACCAGTTCTACAAATTATCATATAAGTATTCTTATAAGTGGCCCTAACAACTATTTTCATCATAAATTGAGCTACTTAATATCGAAGGCACCTTAAGTCTACAGCAGTTATATGGGGTTTCGAGCCTAATTTGTTGAAGATAGATGCATTCACATGGGTGTCAATTTGGATTGGTGGGTCAAATTTGGATCTAACCCTAAGTTAACTCAACCTGAAAATACTTGACCTGTTTATCATAGGGGTCAAAATGTTTGACCTGAATCCTACTCAGCCCAAATACACCTAACCCAAATCCGATCTTGTTGACCTCGTTTTTGTCCCGGTTTGCCATCAGACGCGTTTGATTGAGTTGATCTAGCCTCGTCGAGCCCGATTCATTTCGAATCGACATTAATTTGAGTTTGATTTTATTTTATCTTATTTTATTGAATTAATTTTGGTCGAGTCGAGTTATATTTTCCACTCATCATTGTGCATGTCAAAACCAAATTCTAGATTTTACTCTACATGCACCTTACCATACAAGTAACTTTTTTTTTTTTTTTGAGAAAGTCAGTCCATACTATAGCTTTTATACTTTTAAGAGCATATGACATTCTTTCATCAAACATTACTCTCGAGTCATAACATGATCTTAACCACATAAACTGTAATTCTAAGTTCTCATTTATATCACTATTCTACCATATAATAGATATCCAATATCTTAGCCTATTACATTTAAGTATCAATTCAAATTTAAGCAAAATTATCAAATAATAATGAATTTTATATCCACTGAAATTGTATATCATACACCCGCATTTGTTCTACTAATCCAAAATTCATAATTCAATAAGTTTACTCCGGTAACAAAGGCATATTAAAGCTATTAAATAGAAGTATAATGGACATAGTAAATATCATTTAAAATAGCTATGAAGAAACCAAAGAGGTTTTAATCACAATTGGGCTACAAGAAGCAATAGCATTAAGTATCTTTTGGACATTGCTTACGAACATAAATACAAAAAGATATATAAGATGGATATCATCATTTGTAATGACTTGTGAAGTAGATGATAAGTTGAAAATAAAAAATTGATTAATAAACGGCTTAAGGTTGCTCGAAATAACTTATTTTGCAAATGACAACTTTTATAGGTTGTCTAGTAAACTTGGACAAATGTAAAAAAAAAAAACTGTGACAGGTATAAAGAATGAGATTACTATATAAAGAGTATGTATGAGTTAATTAATGTAAAACAAACAACTATTATTCATTCTAAAAAGTCAAATGATGCCTAAGCCTTATATTTTAGTGCTTCTAATCTATTACAAAAAAAGAATTAGGATAAAAATAAGAACATAACTCAATGTTTAAAATTGCGTATTCGGGTATTGAGGCGTTTTTCATTCTTGAGGCGAGGCGTAAGCCTCAAGACGTTTTGAGGCGTAAGCCTCAAAATCAAAAGATTGCGTAAACATAAAATGATAAATTTTTTATATACTAATGAGTGAATAATATAAAACTTAAAAAAGCATAAGATATGAAGTGAAATCAAAATATCCCAATAATAAGACAACTTGAAATATAGTTCAACTCAAAATTATATCTTTCCCAAATCCCAGTATTCTTTTCATTAACATATAATTCCAATTTCTAAAAATAAATAGCAATGACATGTCACATAAGAACTTATAAGTCATCAGCACTGTCATCACTAAGGGGTTCTTCATTTGAATCATCATTATGATGAACTGCTCTCTCCCCTTCCTCCTCTCCTATAGAGTCAAATGTCGGGCATTTACTTCAAGATTTATGTAAGTTTTAATATATATATAGCGTGAGGCGAGGCGGGCCTCAACCAAGTTGAGGCACAAGCCTCTTAACAAAAACTCGAGGCGTAAGCATCGAGGCGTTTTTTCTTGGAATTGCGCAAAGGCGGGCCTCAAGGCGAGCCTCATATTGCGCAATTTTAAACTTAGACATAACTATATAGTTAAATTTGGTGATTATAATGGAGAAATGTCAAGCATATCATTTGATAAGATAATATTATAAAGTTAATTGGTAAATTATATAAAACTACAAATATGTTGTATGGATATGAGAATCATGCAATAAAAAAGTAAATGATAATCAAGTTCAATTTGGTAAAAATGAGAACATAAAGATGGGTGTGTGATAAAACTAGAATGATAGAGTAAAATGATAATACTAGATAGATGATTGGGGAATCACATAATGAACATAGGGTACAACAACATCAAGCCTTTATCCCACTATGTGGGGTTGGCTGCATAAATCCTTTTTCTCTATTATGCCCTATTAAAAGTTAAATTCTCATTTAAATCTAATAAAGAAATGTCGTTTCTAATATTTTCTAACCAAGCCTTTTTAGGTCTATCTCTACCTTTATTAATATAAGTCAAATCTAATATATCTACTTACCTAATAGGGTCATTAGAAGGCCGCCGTTTTATGTGACCAAACGGTGTAAGGCGACTCTCTCTAATCTTTTCTTCCACTAGAGCTACTCCAACATTTTCATCTATATGCTCATTTCGTATCATATCTCAAAGAGTAAAGCCACTCATCCACCTAAGCATTCTCATCTTTGCAACACTTAACTTAATATTATGCTTCTCTTTTAATGGACAACATTTTGCACCATAAAGCATTGTAGGTCTAACCACCATCTTATAGAATTTCCCCCTAAGTTTGAGGGGGACTTTTCTATCACACAACAAGTCCGATGCATTCCTCCACTTCAACCATCCAACTTGAATTCTACTAATAATATCTCCATCTATTTCACCGTCACAACATAGAATAGACCCAATATATCTAAAATGTGTACTCTTATTAATGACTTGATCACCCAAAGTCACAATCCCACCATAAGAACTATTTTTACTAAAATTACACTATACATTCAGTTTTAGATCTACTCAAACGAAAGCCTTTAAACTCTAAGTTTGACCTCCATAATTCAAGTTTATCTTCAACTCCCTCTCAAGTCTTATCAACAAGAAGAATATCATCAACAAAAAACATATACTAGGGTACAACCTCTTGCAAATGTCTAGTGAGAACATCTATGACTAAAGCAAAAAGAGGGCTTAAGGCTGATCCTTGATGTGATCCAATTGAAATAGGAAAATAATTGGTAAAACCACCTTATGTTTAAATACAAGTAACAGCTCCTGCATGCATATCCTTAATGACTTGAATATAAGCATTATTAACCCCTTTCTTTTCTAGAACTCTCCATAACACTTCTCTTGAAACTTTATCATATGCTTTCTCCAAATCAATAAATATCATATGTAGATCCTCCTTATTCTCTCTATACTTCTCCATCAAACCTCTCAATAAATATATAGCTTCCATAGTAGACCTACCCAACATGAATCTAAATTAATTTTGAGAAACATTAGTATCATGCCGCAACCTATGCTCCATAACTCTCTTCCATAGTTTTAAAGTATGACACATTAACTTAAGTCCTCTATAATTCGCACAATCTTATGCATCACTCTTATTCTTAAAAATAAAAATCAACACTTATTCTCTACTCATTTGGCATCTTTTTAGTCTTCAAAATAATATTAAAAAGTTTAATAAGCTAAGAAATTCATTCATCTCCTAAGCATTCCTTTATTGGAATATCATCAGGTCGCAACAGCTTTTCCACACTTCATTTTCTTTAAAGCCTCTCTAACTTCGGTTTTACTAATATGCTGATAAAAACAAAAACTTTTATTTTCATTTAGAGTGCTAAGGTCACTAATGTCAATCTCATTCTCATAATCATCATTGAAGAGTTTATAAAAATATCTCATCCACCTTTTTTGAGTATCCTCTTCTAATAAAAGCATTTTTTTATTTTCATCCTTAATACGCTTCACTTGAACTAAATCCTTACTACTCTTATCTCTATGTTTGGCTAAATTACACATATATCTTTCTCCCTCCTTAATATATAATCTATTATATAAATCATTAAAAGCTAAAATTTATTTGACATGGCGAAATTCAATGGAGGCTAAAGGGATGATGTTAGGCTGGGGAGATTGAAGAAAAGTAGAACATATTTGAAGAAATATGGAAAGATCAAAGATAACATAGTTATAATTAATGTAAAAAGATCTACATAAACTAGAGTTAGTACCTAATGAAGCACCCTAGCAAGAATGAATGGAGGATGACTTATAAAGCTGGCCCAAAATAGTTAAGATACAAGAAAGTGATGATTTTAGTTGTAACTTTTCTAACATCAAGGTGATATGGAAAGATATGCATGAATGCATACACATTAATACAAACAAAAAAAAATCATCAAAATGCATGTATGCATGTGTTCACATACATAGTTATATGTGTTAAAACTTTTTCATAAACAAGGTTTCATTTCCATCTTCTAAGATCAATTATAATTTACCCAAAGGGCAATGAGAGAGTTGAGGCTCAAAGCAGCCTCACTCTATTCTCATTAGAGAGGCATTCAGCATGTCAGATTGTATAGCAAGTGTATTGAGAGAATATACCCTTTGCACCACAAGAGGGACATTTCCTTTATATAAAATGTAGAAGATATGCTCCAAATCAAAAACAAATATAAACTCAATCGATATTATACATGTCTTTTTGCGATTAGTTTACCAAAAAAAAAGTTTGAATTGATTAATCTTATGGATTAATCCCTACTATTATTTGCATACAAATATGTTTCCAACATTTATAACAATTAGATCGGAATATAGGATTACTAAAATTGAGGTAACATAGCATCGTCAATATGTATAATTTAGGTAGGTGTTTTCATATACTAGCCGTGCACTTTATATTTAGGAATGCAATCATCACAAGAAATTGAAAAGCTTTCTATCACAAGGTTTAACAATTAAATAGAGAAGATTATTGAAATGTGCCATATAATAAATTTTTTTATCGTTATGAGAAAAAGTTGTCACAATTTATTTACAATTGAAAATTCCTTTTATGCGTCATCGTTATTGAAGTTAAGCTAATATTATAATAAGACATACAGGTGACTAATTTATTTACAATTGAAAATTCCTTTTATGCGCCATCGTTATTGAAGTTAAGCTGATATTATAATAAGATATACAGGTGACTAATTACACTTACTGCATCTTCCATCGTTGAACGCCACCCTTGCATGGAAGATAGCCCATATCTAACTCGTTCATTCCCACCATCTTCAGAAAGTTTATCAGTTTTTGGAGTACTGAGGTATATACCCATTGCTGTATAAAGTAAATAGGAGAAAACATATCAGCAGGAAAAAGAAAAATAAAGCAGAGATAGAGAAAAATAGTACAAAAGCTAAAAAAAAACAGTACAACGACAACATCAAGCCTTTATCCCACTACGTAGGGTTGGCTACATGAATCTTTTTTCTCCGTTGTCCTATTAAGAGTCAAATTGATGCGGAGCATATTAGTTAAATCAAGACTTAGGAATAGCTTATCTAATTTAATACCTTTTTCTAGAGAGTTCTAGGCATTTCTATTATATTGTTATAAATAGTTGCTATAGGTAGAAGAAGAGCATGAATTAGTATTTTTGGAATTTGAAACAGTTTTCACTGTTTTTGGTCTCCAAGAGCTGTTTAGCTCTTCTCCTTCTTCTCCATCATGCTTCTTTGGTGATTCTCCCCACATCACAAATTCTCATTTAAATCTAATAAAAAATCATTTCTAATATTTTAAAACCAAGTCTTCTAGGTCTACCTAGCATAGTTCGGATCAAATACATCTACTATCCTAACTGGGTCATCGGAAGGCCAACGTTTTCTATGACCAAACCATCTAAGACGACTCTATCTAATAAAAACTAACCAAGTCTGCATAAACTGTGGGGAAAAAAAGAGGGATTATCCTGCATCGAAAAAAATTTGCTCAAAATAATGATTTTTATGAGATGGGAAAAGGCTATTTTATACCGTCCAAATGGTAAAGCTCATTTTGGGAAAATAAAGCATCACCCATTCCATGTTACCAGGAAGAAACTATTAAATAGGAAAATTTCCTTAAAAGGATAGCTTTGTAATGGCTCATTATCATCATACTAGCCATATCTGAATAATAGATGTAAGCTTGTTGGTCTGTATCATGCTACTATAGCCAAAATTCAGATGCCAAATTAACAATCTAAATCCCATGACATCATCTAACTTAACGAAGGATTAAAGATATAGATCCAAATCAATGTTCATAATGAATTTGAAATCATAATTTCAGATGAAATGGCATTTCTCTTTTGGTATTTAGCTTCATCACTTATCATAGAAACAGCCTCCTCCCAATTTAAGGGAGGACTGCATATATCAAAATTTCCCTAAATTCTACAATAGCAAGAACTTCATGCACTGGGTGTGTCCTTCCTCCAAGTGCATCATTTATATTCATGATTCATCAATCAATAAAGAGGAGACAGCAAATGAGCTATGCCAACTTGCCAACTTTTCACTCCTACTATAACCTGTGAGAGGCATAGTAGCATAAACAAAGCTCAAATCAGGGCATGTCAACATAAGCAGATATTTATGCTTAATTGCTTGAAATAAAATTAAAAAAAAAAGTTAGTCTTCAATTTATTCGAAAATATATGTTTATGACTGTATTCTAATGGCTTCCAGCTGTAAGGGCAGAGTTAAAGAATATTTCTAGAGTTTATTTCAAAGATATTTGTTTGTGTTTGATGAACTCATTTATTGTGCTTCTTTGAACTGAAATGAGCTTCCTTAATATTCAAACTCTCGTTTAAATATTATTATTACGATTGACAAAATAAAATTTTAATCAAATACCCTATTAATTTGAAATCTCCTTATAATTGCTAAATGTGAATTCCAAAAGTGAGTTTCCATCATGTCCAAATACTTGAGTTTAAAAAAAAAAATCAAGCCCTAAATGCTTCCCTTTGGATACAAAACTAATCTACCATTCCTCAAAATTCACCTCCTTAGTCAAACACTCTATGCAACACACATGCATATTGCAGAAGCAACAACAGACACCATCATCACTTGCAATCAATCAAAGCTGGACAGATGTGAAGGAATAGAATCAATGTCGTATGCCCATCATTAGGAATCCCAGAATACATATTTTCGTCCCAAGATTAGACATTTAAGACGAAGATAAAGCAGATGACATATAAAATCGATCCAAAAACCCTAATTAAGGTAAATACCATCCCCTCAGTAGAAAGTAAGGAAAAAAAAAGTTCAAGCAAACTGCCCCCCTATCCTAAAATCACAGAGCACAATCAAATTCAAAGATGCAAAAGACCAGCTACGATCCGACAAACGCAAACTTACACCTTCAAACAGGTCAACTCTAAAGCAAAAAATAAAAGGGCTGAAAGAAATCAAGCAATATACCAAAATCAGAGAGCTCACGAGCCTCTACGACCTGAGGAAAATCTGCGCGTAGAGAGAGAGAGAACGAGAAACAGAGAGACGCGTCGATCCCAATTCCCAAACGAGACTATCTCTTCTAAGTTACAGTGATTCGTCTCGCCTTCAATTTATGTATTTTAATTTTCAATATTTCCATTTTTTGGTCTAAAACTAATAACGTTTTAGCCCTTTTTATTGATTTTAGAATCAAATTAACTATTTTCAGACTGATTTTTATTTTTTTGGGAAATTTCAAACTGATTTCATACTCTCCACAAAGAGCCAAACAGGATCGGATTCAGCAATCCAACAAAAGACCAATTGCCAAACGACAGCAATTAATTTATATTTTGTAAAATATCATTACACTTTTTCTACGAAAAACATCATAATTACATCTATGGTTTCTGTGTGGCAAAAATTAACGGTGCTTTATTTTTTTTTATGAAAAAAAGATAAAAAATATCTCTTGATTTTTTTTTACCAAATGATCCTCAATTATATTAAATAAACATATAAGTAAAAAGGTTGGAGTAGCTCCACTAAAATATAAGATTAAAGAGAATATCATTGGATGATTTGGTCACATAAAATGGCGACCTTCCAATGTTCTGGTCAGGAAAGTAGATGCATTAGATTTAACTTATATTAAGAAAGGTAGCGATAGAGCTAAAAAAGACTTGGTTATAAAATGTTAGAAATGATTTTTCTTTATTAGATTTAGATGATAATTTGACTCTTAACTTGACACAATGGAGAAAAAGGATTAATGTAGTCGATCCCATAGTGGGATAAAAGGTTATTGTTGTTGTTGTTGATGATGATGATCATTTTGATCCTTCAATTAAAAAAAAAAAAGAATCAAAAGAGTTTCATGGTGAGGCTATTTTAATTCTCTTTTAGGAGTTGAGAGATAAAAAAAAAGGTCTTTTAATATAATTAAGAACAATTTTGATATTTCATAAAGAGTCAAAGAACCATATTGATCATTTTCTCTATTTTTATGTATAAATATTTTGATTTGATAAATTCTTCATGTAAAATGTTATATTGCATTTTTCACTTTTTTTACAATAGATAACATAATTACAGAGTAATTTGTTTGTTAAATTTATCAATTAAATATTATGTTGGGATTAATGCCTCCAATAATATAATTTAAATTTTCTTGGAATAATTATTATTTATCAAATTTATTTTAATTATATTTATATGAAAAATTAGAAATCCTCTATTTAAATAGTCATGAATAAGGTCAAGCTTATAGTATCGGTTGATTCTTGTTGAATGTGTTCAACATATATTAATCTATCTATAAAATTTTATGAGAATGCTACCTTGATGTTATTAATATGCAACAATAGTCCATAGCTCTTATTAAGATATGAGATTAATAGATACTATGATATGTTTAAAGGCAATTGGCTCAAGATTTAATTTGAACATCCAATTGGGAATGTCAAGATTTATGCAATTCAAATTTGTGTGTAATGATGATTGAATGGATAGCAATTATTATAGCTTTAATGAGATTTGTCCAATCAATGATGTCTAGATTCATACAGTCTGACTCTATGTCTAAAGATGGTAGAATGAATGATAATCACTCTAGCTTATGCGGTATTGGATTGTTAGGGTTGTGCCCTAAAGAAATATTATTGTAATATATTTTCTAAGGAAATAAATATTTAAAGACAAGTTTAGCATGTTTCGATATTATCATTTGATATAATATTTTTGTTCCATGATTATTTATACAACCATAATTCAGTATATAATTATATACAAGAGGATTGAATTATGGATAATAATCAAAACAAGTTCATAATTATTAATTATAGTTGGAATCTATGATTAAATATTATTAGTACGGTCCATCAACATTAAGAATGGAATAATCTTATCCGGATTATTCGATATGGAGATATTAAGGATGGAGGTACTTTATATAATATGATTATATAGAACTGGACCAGATAAATTTTGAATTCTTTAATAAATTCTGTTTTAATTATAGAGAATTTAAAATTAATCATAAAGATGATCATATATAAAACAATCTTAACTTGCATGTACCATGCAAACGGTTGACCTAAATTAAATTTCAAAGAGGTGCTCATCCAACACAAGATGAGAGAAAAACAAATAAATGCTCCAATTTAAAGGAGCTCACATTAATTATACATTTCACATATCAACGGGGTGTCCAAAGCACATGCCAAAGATTTTTGGATCAGCCTGCCCACAACTTTATCATTATAGGTGCCACATTACCGACTTTCCCCACAAAAGGCACCCACTTTCATGAAAGCACCTCCAACTACCATTCCTACCCCACCTTGGAATTCATTTGTTATTGTATAGAGATGCATACTATAATAAGAAAAACTAATGTAGATGAGCTTTGGATGAAATTACAGCTTACTGAAGGGTTCTTCTTCTTCATGATTGACTTACTAGCTAGTTACACTAAGTAAGTTTGTGATATTTAATTTGATTTATTAATTTATTTTTTTTATGTTTTGTAAGTTTATTGTTTGTGCAACTCCAATTATGTCACAACATCTATCTACAATAATCACATTTATTCCATCACCATCAACCAGTCCTCATAGCATTACCTAGAGAAGTAACTATTTAACCTAGCTTCAACAATTAACCTCCAAAAGCCTCATCTCCCTTGTCTCCCTCCACTAACCTCCAGAATTACATCTTCAAATAGTTATATCCTTCCAAAGCTTTGAAATCAAAGGTTAAATCACCCTCACCTATATAATAATTACTATCCTAGGGAAGTTCTTGAGTTTTTCTACACTTCATTTTCTTTCACATTGGGTATATAACCACCTCTATTCAAGCATATTAACTTAAAGCCCACCTATATTCCATCCTATCTTACACACCATATACAAGCCATCAAATTAATTCCATGACCAAAATCTCCTCTAGACATCCCCATAATTCCAACTCCACCTTAACACCTCTACAATCATTAATACACTAAGATTTCTCAATTCCTCATTCCACCTCTTTCACCACATCAAGAGGGTTATAATACTAAAATCATTTAACCCTAGTGCCGACTCCCTATCTTCTTAGTATTGGAGACAAAATATGTGTATCAATAATTTTCAGATAAGGATTGCGTCAAGACTACTACAGTTAGAATGCATCAAATTAGCACAACATCAAGTGGAACATTATTTCCTTCATTGGGTAACTTCTTACTTTTCACCATTTTGATATTTTTTTTTATTTCATTATAATTTATTTCCATTTAAAGTGTTGGGTTGTCTTAAAATCTTTTGACAAGCTCATAATATAGTTATTGTGATTTAATTAGCTATATCTAGTACATAGCAAAACCAACACCTTAAACTAGCCTAATCCATTTTTTCTTGCGCAATACATATTGTAAAGAGTGTGACACACTTAATATTAAAAATCTCACTCCTTGAATATGGAGAGAAGATTGTATTTTTGGAAGTATACTTATTTGATTGAGGGTTTATGTATAATTGAGCATACGTGTTATGTGATGTTGTTTGGAGGGTTAGAATTTTTTTTCATATATTATTTTAATAATTATAAAATTCACATATTTTATAATCTTCAAAGGCATTCATTTACAGTTTGCTCATATAAAAAGGATAGCTCAAATATTAGAAAGGATAACACATAAACTCAAAATCACTAGATCTATGAATCAAAAGACCATATCTTTATATATGATTAATTATTATTTTAATTTAAAGGAATGTAAACAAAGTGATATATTCCAAAGGTCTATAATTTGATATAGACAAAGATTCATGATGTTTATAAACAAGATTAAAAAAAAAAGAAAATGTTATATCAATCTAAGCATTTATAAGAGCCACACCTAAATTCTGTGCTCCATTCCAATCTTTTCAAAGTTAAATGGGGAATTAACACATGTTATATTGTGAACAATAGATGACAACTTCCTATTAAACTATATAGTTATGAGAACCAATTATCGTGTAATGTCCTTTTATGGACATAAGCCATATCCATCTAAGTAAATCTTTAACTGATAACATTAATGTTACTAACAATGACCATGATCACACTTGTGTTTTAAACACAATGATAAGACCATAGAATTACTTCAAGTTCAACCCTTACATGAACAAATTCATGAGATAGCCCGTGAACCAATGATTAATACACTTGCCTTGAATAGTTCTTTTATTATCTCTAAACTATCCCATATATCATGTTCTTTTGGTGTATCCACCTTAGTAGCTTGTAATGGTACACTACTTGATGCACCTCTTGTGCAACCTATTGACACACTTATTAGTGAGTCTTCACTTGATGATTCTATATGACCACCAATTTAAAATACTACTGACATGTTACTTTGTTTACCCCAATAAAGAGTAAGGACAAATGATTTAACTCACAACCATATGATTTTTTATTTTACATATCCTTAGGCATTTCCCATGATATTACACATAATGAACATATCCTCCTTGAGGAGGATAATACATTTATGACTATTAAAGTATGAATACCATTTATATTTGTCATTTTGTATAAGGAATTGATGTTTGAGCCATTCCTTCTAAGTTGTCAAGATCCTACTATAGACCATACACTTGGATTAGCTTTGATTAAGCTCGTGTTTTTTAACCAGTGTCCTAGATAGATTAATATTATTACAATCTAAACTTAATAATCCTCAAAATAAATATTATTTACATGATTCTATACCGAAGTTATCATCTCAATATCATAACCTTCTTGCATATTTATTACATCAAGATATATTTAAAGTGGCTATAATTTATTTCACATTTAAATATTTAATTTTATATCAAATAAATACTATATGTTGATTAAGGACATTAGACTATATGATTATAAAAAAAAAAGTTTGCATTTTAACATAAGTGTTAATCTTATTTTTATTGCATTAATTTACTAAAATTTAAGGGAACTATAAAGTATGATTGATGGATAATTTTTAAAGGAGATTATAGAGCCACTATTACATGTGCTCTTATTTATAGGGGTACGACCAATATGCTTCTATTTGGATGTCTTCCTACTCGTAAAAACATTCCATCGCCATGTTCATGTGGCACCTTCAAATTCAACATTCAGTTCAACCTATTCTGACTCGATTCAAAAGATGTA